AAGCACCAGGATAGAGGAATGTCCTCTATCCCTGGCTCGCCAGAGATCATCGGTCAGTGCAACCAAAGCGGTTTCAGTGCAGGCCTGAACCAGGCCTGAAACCAGACTGAAAGGGATCTAGACATACCCAGATTTTCAGCCTCTTTTTTGAGGGAAAAAGGTGTGCCTTATACTCCGAAAAATATGGTATGTACAATCATCTTTAAAAAAATAAATAGCAGTAGCCAACTCAACAACTATGGCACTGCAGTTACTTTTAACCATAAGATGCAAGTGCAATCTGTGCAATAGCATCTTATGATATGTTATTATTTTTGCCTATTGTAAACAGACCAGATCCTGCTCTTGTGCCTCAGCATTCCTCACAAAAGTGAAAATAGGAAGAGAGTGCTAGATACACTGCATTGAACTCCTGGATAAAAGGCGGGGTATTAACCTAACAAATGAATCATAGTATTTTTATTTGATCTTTCAAGAGTTACATCATAATATAGGTACTTCTTAACATGTAACAATTCATTTAGTAACTGTTTGAAATTAAAACAGCATTGAAAAAAGTAACTTTTAACTGATCCTTGTATTATAATCATTGCAACATCCACATGCTCCCAGAATCAAAATTTAGATGCTTGGCAACCAATTTTTTTAGTGGCCTTTTTTTCCTTGTGAAGAATTGACTTTGTGGGGAAACTTAATTTTTAAAATTGGAAAAAAGATGGTGATATTGAAAAATTAAATGAAAGCAACAATATTGATTTTGGACCAAATGATAGAGGATTATGCATTTTTAACATACTCTGTGTTAAAAGCAATGTTTTCAGTTTCTGAGACATCTGAAATATTATAACAACTTTTTAAACCCTTAAAAATATAGACTACCAAATTAAGATATAAGAGGAGATCATGGTTTTCTCTTTTTTCTATTTACTTTTGTAAGTGTGAAAGGGTTCTGTTCCCCTCCATAATTCAGTAAACTGCAAGATCACGAAGAAGAAATCAAATCATTGCAGCAGGTTAAGGGAAATAGAGAAGTAACATCTTCGTTTCTTATATGTTTAATGGTAATAAAAAAAGACAGCTTGGGAAGGGAATGCTCATGGCTTTGCCAGATCATTTATATAGAAACTATGCTTTCTATTCACATTTCTGTCCCATATGTGTAAGACAATTTAAATTGCTAGGACTGTGATATTGTAAAGAGATTCTATAGAGAATCTATAAAAGATTGGAGAACATTGCAAGAACAGTGAACATCTAGATAAAAGGTTGCTTCTATTGTAAGGGCATTTGCTGAAAAAGAAAACAGTTTGAATAACTGTTGTTTAAAAATCAGCTCATTTTGCTGTAATTGATTGCTTCATAACTAACAGAGTTCTTTTATGTATGTGTTCAGCAAAAGAAGAAAGTCTTATGGAAACATGAAAAGTTGTCCTACATATAGAATTTTAAAATATAGTTAATCCTGCAATACAGGTAGTCCTCGACTTACAACTTACAACTTCATTTAGTTCAAAGTTACATCATCACTGAAAAAAGTGACTTATGACCTTTTTTACATTTATGACCATTGCAGCATCCTCATGGTCATGTGATCAAAATTCAGACAATGGGCAACTAACTCATATTTATGACGATTGCAATGTTCCAGGATCATGTAAAACACCTTTTGTGACACTCTGACCAGCAAAATCAATTGGGAAGCCAGATTCACTTAACAACTGTGTTCCTAACTTAACAACTGCAGAAAGTTTGTAAAATGGGGCAAAACTCACTTAACAAATGTCTCTCTTAGCAACATAAATTTTGGGCTCAATTATGGCCGTAAGTCAAGGACTACCTACATGAACCACCTTTGGCTATTAATTTGTGATAACTGAATTATATTCATTCATGGTCCTTTCTCCAACTAGGGGTGGGGGGAGGGCTTAATATGTATCAGTAATCAGTACATCCATTTTTAGAGTTTCACTTTTTTATGAGTCCCAAGTACTGTGTATATAATTCTCATTAATTAGACCTAGTCTAAGGCTATTTTCTTCTACTCCAGGATTGTTAAAATAGACATGTTATCAGTGATACCTGAAAGCACAGCTGTCATTCTTATCTTCTTCTACAAATACCTGATACAGATAAGAAGCCAAGTAAAATAGTATCAGTAATGAATAGCTGCACAGTATGTTTCCTGTTTCCTCATATTGCTTTTGTAAGGCAAAAAAAGTCTTAAATTATTCACTTCTAAATGTATTTACTTGGAAGCATATTTATATTGATTCCAGTACATTTACTTCGAAGTACATTTTAGTATTGTTGCCTAGCAAAATGATTGAGGCAATGATTGTATGGTAAGAAAAATCTGTTGTTGACATTTGCATTTCCTCATAAACTTAGGGATCAGAAGGCTTTTTTAGAATTCCTCAGCTATGACAGGACTCTTGTTACAATTATTTTAAAAATAAATGACTAGCCATTCATGACATCAAATTAAATATAAGAGCAGCTGAGGTCAACTACTATATATGTCCATTTATATTTACCATATTTGTATAGAACACCTGCCTTTGTGTAAAAAGACTTATGAAACAGGGAACACACTGAAGAAGGCATAGTTGTTCCTCTCCTTAAGTTTACAAAGAGAACAATCACCTCAAATTTCAAAGAACAAAATTTTAAGAAGTGTGGGTTTTCTCAGCAAAGTCTTAGAAGCGATGGAACAATGGCAGAGGATTATTACTTTTAATAGAGGTTTTATGGGAAAAAATTGTCTCTGGGTTCACATTGTGGCCAAAATTTTAGCCTCTGAAGGGTCTGCTGTATTTTTTACATAGAAATATGCAATAGATTTATAAAGCTGACAGTAGATTTTCTGATCTTGTCGTGGAAAATACATTTAGCAAGTTCTTCTGACTGTAGTTTTGAAACTCAAGGATTCCCTGCTCTCCAGTTCCTCACATTTTTGTCAGAATTCAAGTCAGCTACTATGATGGTTATATTATGCTATAACCTTGTTACCAGAGGAGGGAGATGTAAATAACAAGGAGGGACTAATCTTTCTGTCCTTCTCTGATGTTTAAATGTTTAAAACATTTTAAACTGTTTTTGGGCTTCAAGGCCTAAATTTGGGATTTGTACTCTAAAGAAACCAAGATTTTCTTTCATTGGCTCTTTACCTAAACAGTAATTTTGCTTCATTTCTAGGTCCTAATGGATTTGGTCTCTCAATATTTTGTCCTTTCCCTAAAATATTTACTTTGCTTATCTAGGTATAATTATTCACATAATTATATTCATTCCTTGTAAAGAACATGTCTACATTAAAATAAATAAAAAATGTCATATGTAAACTATGCGGACAGCACACCAACCATATATATTTTTGTAACCTATACTTCAAGTTCGGTACCAAAGATAAAATTATCTACATGTATAAAGAAAGAAAGAAAGAAAGAAAGAAATAAAGAAATAAATAAATAAATAAATAAATAAATAAATAAATAAATAAATAAATAAATAAATAAATAAATAAATAATATTTATAAACTATATATATATATATATATATATATATAAACAATTACAGTGAACCCTTGATTAAACAGTTTAATATAGAAGTAGGAGTATCTCTGAGACTCACCCAATGGTAAATAGGTTGTTACATGCGAACATGGGGTATTTCAAGTGCCTAACACAACATGATAACTGAATTTAGTCCACTGCATTTGAAGTCTGCAACTTAGGTCCAGTGCAAGCATTTGACGATTAATGTAAGCAAACATACTGTAAGGAAGCAAAAAGCAAGATTAGGATAAGCCAGGGCTCAATAATCATGAATAGAAAAAACTGAGAATGTGATTACCTGCTTAGCAACCAAAATTCTGGTTTCAATTGTGGCTGTAAGATGAGGACTACCTGCACAGTATAAACAAATATGTCCAGGAGCAATATCTCCCAAGTCCTAATATTGTTGTTCTTATCATTCCAGAACTGTATATGGTACTATGCCATATAGCTATAAAATGTTAATTTGCTTCAATGAATATATAACACATAGGAATGTATTTTTTAAAAAAAGAAATTTACCTTATCCGACACCTATTAATTCTTCTTTAAAAAACAGAGGGGCATATAAATGCAGCCTGCTGACTGGAATGATCCAACCAATCTTTAAGGATAGCTTCTTAAGACTTATGGAAATAAGCCACACAGCAAGCTTTAAGACAATTTTGTTTATTATCTGGAAATACAATAAAATGGGTTTCAGACAATTCCCCAAAAGTATAGAGACTCTCCACAGAAGAATTGCTCCTGAACCAATGACTATTTCTCTTCACAAAGAGAAACTCTAGGTACATGGACTGCTACATACATACATGCATGCATGCATGCATACATCTCATACATGTAGTATACTTTGTTCTTCTCTTATATACTTTATGGATGAATAGCAAGGGGTGGCTGCACAGCCACTAGCAATGAGGTCCCACCGTAGTGGTGCATCTACCTCAGTCTTAAAATGTACAAGATGTGTATCTAAATCTCCAACACCCATTAGAGATGTAAGTGAAACTCATGCCTTAAGGAACATTCACACAAATAGAAACCCCTTATATGAAATCACATCCTTTTATTTATTGTTCTCTTTTCTCTTTTCAAAAATTGGTTTCTGTTTGCCCAAACTGAAAAGGAAATGCAAGTCCATCTGGGTTTTTTTTCCAGAGAAAATGACTGTCTATAACTATTATATTTCAACTTTCTCCAAGAAAATGCTGAAGGAAAGCAAAACCTTATTTCCCACTGTAGGGCATGATGGCAGGTGGTTAAAAGATCCAGAAGGTTAACAGGGAAAAAGAAGGTGCAGTAGCTACATCACCTATAGATGAGAACTAGCCATTTGTGCTGGAATGTAACCCTTTAAGATAATCTGATATTTTATTTATCTCCCTTCAAGTTGTGCATTAATGTGTATATGCTTCAATTCTAGTTCCACAAAGCGTCTCAAATCTGTAGAGGATGAAATGGACAGTCCTGGTGAAGAGCCATTCTATACCAGCCAAGGGCGGTCTCCAGGAAGTGGAAGTCAATCAAGTGGATGGCATGAAGTGGAGCCAGGTAAATAAAGTCACCCAGGTGGCTTTGAAGGGAGGGGGAGTTTTTAGCATTCCTGAATTCCATTTACTGATTCTGATAAGAACTAGTATTAATGTGTGAATTGGTATTTGAAAGGCTAGGGGAGTTGAATACATCTGCAGCTGTAAATCCTTTGTTAATTTCCATTTTGTTCTTTAGGCAAGCATTTGTAGTGTTGAATAATGGTTTCCATGGTTGTCAAGGTTTTCTTATCCCAAAATATTACTCTCAATTAGATTGGCTTGCCCCCAAAAGGAGTGTACGCTGCAACTGTATTTTATTGTCAAACGACAGATGCTTGATTCTTCTTAAAAAAAGAAAAGAAACACAAAATCTTTCAGATTGTTCACTTAAATTGATTTTATTCTGCCACAGCATTGTCAGAAAAGAGGTGCTTTTGTTAATTTGAAAGTTTGTACTGTGGCTTTATTAGGCAATTTTCAAGTCTCTTTTTTTAAATATTTGTACAAGTTGCTACATTTTTATTTATTTATTTAAAAGATATCGCTACCCATCAAGCATCTTATGGGTGGCTTACGACAACCATAAAACCAATAAATAAAACAATAATTGGGATGTCCCACAGAAGGTTCAGGTATACTGCTTCCATACCTTCTAACTGTACAATTCCAGCCCATAAGTAAAAAGATAGGTCTCAAGAACCTTCCAAAAGGCTGCAAGGGTGGACATTGTCAAATTGCCAGCAGGAGAGGGTTTCATAAAGTAGCAACAGAAAAGGCTAGAGATCCTGCTAGATGACAAAATTTCAAACGGGGGACTTGGATCATGCCCACCCTATCTGATTTAGTAAGATGGGTTGATATTCTTAGCAAAAGGTGGTACTGTAAATAACCAGGCCGCATGCCATGTAGGGCTTTAAAGATGACCATCACTTTGAATTCCACTCAGAAAAAAAATGGAAACCATGCAGTCAATAAAAGACACACACACACACACACACACACACACCACACACACACACACACACACACACACCTTATTTTATGTGTAGTTTCTTCCAAAGTAGCATTAATGATTTCTAGTATACCTCCAGGCTGTTTTGGGTTCCTTGTGAGTTCAGCTTATCCTCCATACTTTCAGTATAGGAAACCATTGCGGAAGGATTCTAATGTTATAAGTCATCTGATTTAATGTTTTCTAACCACAAATCCTATAAATCCTGGGTTCTTTTTTGACATTGGACAGTTGAGAAGAAGATACATTTAATTTAGATGAATTTTTTTTTTTAATCGGCCTTATTTTTCTTTAATTGCTTCCAAGAGAAACTATTTTGGGGTCCAATATATGGGCCAGTTTCATAGCTCTATGACTGGAAAGGATGAGAGTCAAGGGACGTATCTGGGAGTGGTCAATATTTTTGATGGTCAGTATTTCTCAGATGATTAAATTATTTTTTCCTCTACAATACTGGCCTTAAGCTGGTTTTCTGGTTTTCTGCAATCCTGCCTTTCCACATCAATATAAGTAGCTTATGTGTCTTCTAACTGCACATCTTTCTGATGTATTTTTCGGTTTTATATCTGATTGTGTTCTTTGGTATCACCAAAGTATCTTTAAGGTATTTTGAAAGAATTTATTAATAAGTAAGTTATAATTTTCAGCGATAATTATATTTTAGTATCGCTGCTTGATATAATAGAACTTTTATGGAAAAATAGGACCTTTGATTTTTGTATGAAAATTATGTGCCTTGCTTGCTGCCTGCTTTATTGCATGCATAGTGAAACACAGATACTGATTCTGGATTTCTATTTGTGATTTAACCAAGAAATGGTGAATGAGTGCAACTGGATCATATTATTTCATCATCATAAATTCAATCCAACTGTGATGTTCCAAAATCAGGAGAAACTTTTCATTTGGCAACCATTTGAAGTTATTATGGCACTGAATGAAAGATTGTTATGACCCAGTGCTCAAACTTACAGCCATTGCAGGGGAAGCAGTGAGATCTTCGCCTAATGACTGCAATTGGGATTACCAGAACTGCCATTGCTAAGCAGTACATTCACGTGATGTTAATGATGACTTCAATTAGTGATGGAAATTTCAGTCCCAATTAGGATCATTAAGTGAGGACTATAGTTCACTTTAGGGACAAGTGCTGATACATTTCTGGAGGGCCTGGTAAAAATGAGATAAGTGATGTCCTTAATGTGTATCATGTGCTGCAAAAGGAAAAACTCTGAAATTATTAGACCTCAAAAAACAAAATGAACCGGCACATTCAGAGGAAACTTAGTAAAAAATGGAGGAACAAAACACTAAGAAGAATGAACAGGATGAATTGTAGGAAAAAATTAAAATCTGGAATCATTGCTTTGAGATGATGTTCACCATAGTAATTTGGAATGTTCATTCCATTCTCATCATGGCTAAAAAAAACACAGATATTTTACACTTTTTCTTTTCCAGCTTTTTTCTTTGCTAATTGTTTTAATATACTGTTACTGACATCAGATAAGTTGTAATGTTTTTTTAAAAAAATAGAAAGTCATATTTTCATTCATCTCTGGGCAGAGTATGCTTTCCACCTAGTGGGGAAATATATTTCAATATTTTTCTTCCAGTTAAAAAAATGGGAGAAAGTCTGTTTTAAGCCTTTTGTCTTAATAACCCTTGGTGTTGTTAAATTTTATTGGTACTGCATGATTGATTGCACATCATAATTTAGCATTTCATACATAGATGTGAGAACTGTGGGTTTAAATTAATGCTTTATTGTTGCAAGTGTTGGAATAAACTTTGGAAAGATCATACAGAATATGGACAAGTTTAAGGATATCTACAAAGGATAGAGTGGGAGTGTTGTTCCTTTTTTTCGGTTTCAAGGCAGACAGTATATTAAACACTGAAACTCTGTTGTTGCTCTAAATTTATTCAGTCTCCTAATACACTGCCTTAATTGCAAGATTCTTGCACTGAGCAGGGGGTAGGACTAGAGGAACTCCACTCCTTTCTGACTTTCAAATTCTGTGTTTCTGTGATTTGTGGCTCAGTCAAGCAAAACAGTGCATTAAATCTTTGCTCCTAATATTATACTCATGGAGACTCACATCCATTTACCTGCACTCCAGTGTGCTTGGGGAGTTCTCAGGCCTGGAATGCCTGGAGTCTGCCAGAAAAGATGAATTTCCTTTCACACAGGAAGACTCCGCAAAGTAAAACAAAGCAGACACGAAGTAAATTATTTCTGCTTTTCAAATATCTCTTGTGGTATCCGCTTTACTGTTAACTTTATCTCAGCACTTTCATCACGTAAATTTTTGCTAACGAAGAAGGAAGGCAAGAGGAGATAATGAAGATACTTTGGTTGGAAAATCATGCAGCTTCAGGCTTGGATTTGCACTGTAATACAATTCTATAGGTGACTTCATTTTAAAAATTAGTATAATCAGTTACATAGCTGTGAATCCACCTAAAAAGCTCTTGGCTTCAAAGTTCGTTTTATTTTGATTTGCCACAGTCAAATGCACTCTGTGAAGCTGAATAATATAAAAAGTTGTCTTTTACCTTTTTTCTCTCTCCCCCCCCCTCAAAATTGCATATTTTAACCCACTAAAGATGCTGTGCCCTTCTTAATCAATGTAAACATTTTTAAAATTGACGGTTGTCTGACCTAATTTTAATAAATATTATTAGCAGATATTTAATTTTAAAATGAACAGTGTGCTCCCATTCCTTTTAGTTATTAGCATGACTATTTTTTCTGTGCCCAAAATAGTTTAGGCACAGAACTACAGTACTACAGTATTTTCAAAAATATGACTCTTGCCCCTCCAAAATATGTTTAATTATTTGATACTTTTTCCCCAAAAATAAGACCTCCTGGATAATAAGCCCAATCGGGCTTTTGAGCACATGCGCTAAAATAAGCCTCCCCCCCCCAAAAAATAAGCTCTTCCCGAAAATATTGCAACACAGCAGTAGCCATGAGGTGACCACACTCACCACATCCTGCAGCTAAAAAATAAGAGCTCCCAGAAAATAAGGCCAAGTGCTTATTTTGGGTGTCAGAAGAAAATAAGACCCTGTCTTATTTTCAGGAAAAGATGGTAATTTTGCAGAATAGCAATAGCAATAGCAGTTAGACTTATATACCGCTTCATAGGTCTTTCAGCCCTCTCTAAGCGGTTTACAGAGTCAGCATATTGCCCCCAACAATCCGGGTCCTCATTTTACCCATCTCGGAAGGAAGGAAGGAAGGCTGAGTCAACCCTGAGCCGGTGAGATTTGAACAGCCGAACTGCAGAACTGCAGTCAGCTGAAGTAGCCTGCAGTGCTGCATTTAACCACTGTGCCACCTCGGCTCTATAGAATAGATCCAATCTAGATCCAATCTAGTTGGCTTGTCTGGTTGCATATTTTTCAGGCATTTTTTGAATTGGGAGTTATATGCAGCTCACCAATGATGAACCATGAATGGTAACATAAAGCAGGCTATTACTGTATTATTGTCTGACATTAAAATGCAATTTCAAAAACCAGACTTAATTTTATCATATTGTAGAGCATAGTTCATAATTTCTTTTCGTAACAAATGCCCATGGTAGGATAAAGATTTGGTCTTGTACAAAAGTTTCTGTTACGAGCTTTCTTTAGACTAACTATACACAAGTGCAGATGACTCTGTATGAAAAGTATATGTAGGGACCGGTAAGAAATTAGATACGTACTGTCAGACCTTGTAAAGAATGAGGCTGGATAACCCAGAGTAGAACAGAAAACAAAACAGAAGCAATTATTCAAGCAACTAGTGAGGAATTCTTTTATTTCCCAACTGAAATATCTTAACAGAAAACAATTACCAAAGTTGGACGTTGGTACCATCACATGGCACATTTTGGCGTATTGGAATAAGCAGGTTTCACTTTTAATATGACTAATGCACTTCTTTAGCTAATTTTATGGTTATGGCATTGAATTCCAGGACACCATCATGAAAATCATATTCTTAAGTG